GTAGGATCACAAGTTCAAGGCCAGCTTCAGCAGCTTATCCAGGTCCTAAGCAATTTAGTGACATCCTGCTTAAAAATAAAAAAAAAAAAACAAAAAGGAGGCTAGGGTTGTGACTCAGTGGTAGAGTGCTTGCCTTGCACATGTGAGGCATTGGGTTCAATTCTTAGCACCACCTAAAAAAATACATAAATTTATTAAAAAAAAAAAAAAAAAAGAAACCAAAAAAGGATGGGGTTGTAGCTCAGTGGTAAAGCACCCTGGATTCAATCCCCAATACCAAAAACTATATGAAAAAATAAAAAAGAAAGCAAGCCTTAATTCTTAGAGTTCCAGGAGAGCAGCAGCAGGGTTGCTCAGAACCAACACTGGATGGAATACTGCTTTGTCTTCAAAGTAGTTCAGGGCAAGTTCCTATGTCTGGAAGTGAGATGGTTGCTAGAGGAATGTGTATTTACATATTTACTTAAGTTGAAGTCAGATTTTCTTCATGAAAGAATGACTGATTTGGCTGTTTGATTTGTTAATGAGGACATTTAGATCATGTCAGACATGAAAATATCTTTTGTAACCAGTAAAACCTTGAATTAAAAACATGGAGATGGTAGTTTCAAAATGTGTAAAAACTTTCCTAGCTTCAAACAAACAAACAACAACAACAACAACAACAAAAAAACAAACCAGAAATAAATAAAATTTGTTCTTTAGATTGACAGTTTCTCCACTCTGAGAGTGTTCCTTGATAGACACCTTGTATGTGGGAATAGTCTCAGGCAATGGTTTACATTTGGAGTTGGAGAGGCAATGTGATATGGGGAAACAACACAGGCTTTGCTCCTTCCTTTCCTTTTTGAAACCAAAGGTCTCATTTTCAGGAAGTATCTGACAGGTAAATAGTAAATTTTTGCTATCTGTAGTCAGTCCAAAGGCCAGCAGACCTGGCATCATCTGGGACCTACCTCAGACCTACTGAATTGGAATCTGTAGTTTAACAAAATTCCAGGTGATTCAAATTACATTGAAATGTGAGAAACACTGATAAAGAACATATCATTAGAAGGGCAGATAGAATCACTAAGTGTATATAACTCAGATCGGAACTTTATGTTACACCTGCTTAAGTAAAGCTGAATAAGGCAGGATGATGGATTGCAAATTTTAATGACAGGCTTATATATAAACATATATGCATGTAGTAAAGCACCACATGCGCGCGCGCGCACACACACACACACACACACACACACACACAGAGACAAACAGATCAGTGGTTCTCAACTGAAGGCAATATTGCTCCCAGAAGACTGGCAATTCTGGTTGTTATCACTGGAGGATGCTGCTAAACTTCTTAGAGTACCCAGGATGGCTCTCCACAATAAGAATTTATCTGGCTCCGAAGGTCAGTAGTTCTGAGGTTGGAAAAACCATGGCATAGATAATATAACATTCCTGTATAATGGCATTTTAATCAGAACTATTAATAGGAAAAGGAGTCATAATCTGCATACACAGCTCTAAAGAAATGGATTTCAGGTCTGGAGAGTTCTGCATCTCAAGATTCCATGCTACTTTCAAGATTATGAGAACCCTGGTTAAAAGCTCTCAAAATCATTTATCTGTGTTTGCTAGCAAATCCAGAGGTCATAATAATCTATCAGTCATATCAATGCTAAAACTCTATTAATTTGCTAACAAAAATAATGGAGAGGGCTGGGTTGTGGCTCAGTGAAGAGCACTTGCCTAGCATGTGTAAGGCACTGGGTTCAATTATCAGCACCACATATAAATAAATACAAAATAAAGGTCCATCAACAACTAAAAAAATTAATTAATTAATTAAAAAGAATAATGGAGACAGATTAGTTACTATTTTATCTCAAATCATTTCTACTTAAAGAAGGAAGCTAGGCTTAAGAGCTTCAACTTCAACTTAGGAGCTTCTACTCACCCTATATTTTCTTCAAGACCCTAAACTCACCTCAAACTTAACCTTCAAATGTTCCTGATATAACACAAGAAATAGTGACTTAGTCTTAGCCCACTCACCAACTATCAGGAGTGGTTTCTCTCATCCTCTCTCACACATGTATCCAGCCATCACTACACACAGCCAAAAGTCTCTAAAAAGGTTGTCAGGGTTTCCTGCCCTCAGTTCCCACTAGTTCCTGGCCCCAAGCTCTGGAGTTGATTGCTGAGGGTATAGTTTTTTTGTTTTGTGTCCAACCCCCCTCACCACCCCCACCCCAAATAAACCCCTACTTCCTTTCCTGACAGGATTTAGTAGACTAGGCTGCTGACTGTCCCATGGGAAATAGTGAAGTTACTGGGAAACAAGGAATGAGAAAACAGTTGGAGCAAATGTACTCAAATTGTTAGTATTTTTAGACTAGGCAGAGGGGAGTGAAGGGAAGGGAGGGGAAGGGTATGGGGGTAGGAATGATAGTAGAATGAATCAGAAGTTATTACCCTATGTACATATATGACTACCTGACCAGTGTGATTTTACATCATGTACAACCAGAAAATGAGAAATTATACTGTTTATATATGATGTGTCAATGTGAATTCCACTGTCATGTATAACTAATTGGAACAAATTAAAAAATCGCCAGTTTTATATGACTACCTTGTAAGATGGAACTTGGGGAACAGATGGTGGTGGGAGCCAGTTTACAAAACCCAGGAAAAAGTTGCATCACCCTTTCATCACGCTGAAAAAGATGCATTATGCCTGCTCCCCAAAACAATGAACACAACAGAAACAAATGAAACATCTTCAAAACCTTTTCGCTGGCTACTGCACTGCCCAGATTTACTAATCACTATTCCATTAGTGCTCATTTTATTATACTGAAAATAATCTTCTTGCCCTTACATCTTAAGAAAACACATCCCCTTCTCATAAAAATGAAAAGTGGGGCTGAGGTGTAGCTTGGTTGGAAAAGCTCTTGCATGAGCTCTTGCATGTAGCATGAGCAAGGTCCTGAGTGTGATTTCTAGCCCCACCCAACAAGCACACATATAAAATAAAAAAGAAAGAAAAAGCAGTGCATGCTATTATTTAATAAATTTAAAAGAAATCTATGAAACTATTCTGTAATAAAACTGTAAGCAACTGGGGTGTAGCAAGGGTAAACTATTTCAGTGAAGTTATGATCAATGCATTGTCAAGACCATTAAATCCAATGCTGATGCTAAGGCAGGAGGAAGAAGCTCTTTGCCAAAGTTTCTGTAATTATTTCACCACCAAAGCATTTTACCTGTGGACTCTGCCACTAGATCCCACAACCATTCAGGAAGAAGATACCATGTTTTTCTTCTCAGACTCCCAGGTTTCTCAAGTACAGAGTGGGGAGCAGCCAGAAGCTATGAGCAAGCCTCTTACCAATACCCTAGATGAGATCATCAACCCCACCCCAGCATCCTGCCTAGTCTTCTGAAGTTCACAGGCTACAGCCCCTGGGCTAGTCTCTTGTCGGGTTCTCAAAACAGGAAAAACTAAAAGTGGGTCCTCCCCACAAAAGACTTTGGGAATTCTTACATTACACAGTTATTTTAAACATGTTCCTCCTGTGTAGTATAATTACAGAAAAGAGAAGATTCAGATCTCAAAAATGACTCTTTATTTCCAAGACTTCCCTAGATTAGTTTCTTTTTCAAATGTCCTCTCAAATTCTTAACTTACAAAAAGTTCTGTGACAAGGATAAAAGACATGCATTGGAATAATTAACTCATTCCTAATAGAAATGATTTATTAACATTATGAACACTTTAGTCTTGATCAGAAAGCAAAGTACTGTTTTCATCCACGTCAAGTCCTTTAAATTCCTCAGGGATTCCATTCTATTTTAGCTTCTGTATAACAATACTGCAGAACCGTAATTACATCCTCTATAATCAGCCCATTCCCAGTGCAATTAACAGAGCCACAAATTTAAAACTACAATCTCCCTACTGAAGTTACTAAACATGTGGAAGAGACAGTTTATTCTGCATGTGAAATGCTTTCCTGTTATGCAGATAAATTTAAAAGAAAAAATAGCATGGAGTAATAGTCTTCATTTAAGAGGGAATCACTATGATCCTGATAATAGTTTCCTGTCCATCATTCTAGTATTGGATTCTCATCAAAAAGCTCTTTCCTTCCAAATTCCTTGCTCTTCCCATATGTTATGAAAACCCTCAAGCTTGGTTCAGATGCCTCAACTTCCCTCATTAAACTATCATTAACTAGGAGGAAAAAGGTATACGTGAAGTGGTTCTCAGATAATGACATGCTAGTGCAAAACAAGCTTTAATTGGCAGAGCAGTCCATCAATAAAGTGCATAACTTCTAAGCAATGTGAATAAAATTTTATCTTAACTAAGAATCAGGGAGTGAACACTAAATATCACTATATCACACATTTTAATGATTCACGCAAACCATTTAATAAATATAGGAATCATAATTAATAAAACAAGAACAACAGCGATATTTATCAAATGTTTACCTTGTTCCAGGACTGTAATAATCTTAGATGAATCACTTCATTTAATTTTTACAAAAAGCCCCTAAGGTAAATAAAGTGATTGTTCTCATTTTTCATATGAGAAAATTGACCCTCAGAGATATTAAATAACTGCCCAGGTTCATTAAAGCAGCTGGCAAGAGTAGGGCCAATCTTGAAGCCAGGTCTAACTGAATCTCAAGCTCATATCCATTTTCACAGGCATCAGGCTGGACTGCCCTCTCTGATTGTTACACGGCAATTTAAAACAAATATTCTTGTCTTTTCCATAAAGGCTCCTGGTAAGCTACAACTGTTGCTAATCAATGGTAGTTAACCAAAAAGCAAGATATTTCTTTAACAAGATTCTCTTTCCCTCATCAAATTCAGGAACTCCTTCCCACATTCCATGTGAACTGATACAATCTTTTCAAATTACATAACTGTTTAATCATAGATATGAGTTACTAAAGCAGCAATCACAAATTAGAATGCACTCTTGTATTTTTCAGATTAAAGAAGCTGATTGGTCAAGAAACCGAGTCCCAGCAGAAAAAGGAGCAAGAAAAGGAAAAGAGGGTCACCACCCTGAAAGAGGAGCTGACCAAGCTGAAGTCTTTTGCTTTGATGGTGGTGGACGAACAACAAAGGCTTACAGCACAGCTCACCCTTCAAAGACAGAAAATTCAAGACCTGACCACAAGTGCACAGGAAACACATGCTAAACTAACTCTTGCTGAAGCCAGAGTTCAGGAAGAAGAGCAGAAGGCAACCAGACTAGAGAAAGAACTGCAAACACAGACCACAAAGTTTCATCAGAACCAAGACGAAATTATGGCAAAGCTCACCAATGAGGACAGTCAAAATCGCCAGCTTCGACAAAAGCTGGCAGCACTCAGTCGGCAAATTGATGAGTTAGAAGAGACAAACAGATCTTTAAGAAAAGCAGAAGAGGAGCTGCAAGATATAAAAGAAAAAATCAACAAGGGAGAATATGGAAATGCTGGCATAATGGCTGAGGTAGAGGAGCTCAGGAAGCGTGTGCTAGACATGGAAGGAAAAGATGAAGAGCTCATAAAGATGGAGGAACAGTGCAGAGATCTCAATAAGAGGCTTGAGAAGGAAACAGCACAGAGTAAAGACTTTAAACTAGAAGTTGAAAAGCTCAATAAAAGGATTATGGCTCTGGAAAAATTAGAAGATGCTTTCAACAAAAGCAAACAAGAATGCTACTCTCTTAAATGCAACTTAGAAAAAGAAAGGACAACCACAAAGCAGTTGTCTCAGGAACTAGAGAGTTTAAAAGTGAGGATCAAAGAGCTAGAAGCCATTGAAAGTAGGCTGGAAAAGACAGAATTCACTCTGAAGGAGGATTTGACTAAACTGAAAACATTAACTGTGATGCTTGTGGATGAACGGAAAACACTGAGCGAAAAATTAAAGCAAACGGAAGATAAATTACAAGCTGCTTCTTCCCAGCTTCAAGTGGAGCAGAACAAAGTAACAACAGTTACTGAAAAGTTAATTGAGGAAACTAAAAGGGCACTCAAGTCCAAAACTGATGTGGAAGAAAAGATGTTCAATGTAACCAAGGAAAGAGATGATCTAAAAAACAAACTGAAAGCAGAAGAGGAGAAAGGAAATGATCTCTTGTCAAAAGTCAATATGTTGAAAAACAGGCTTCAATCATTGGAAGCAAGTGAGAAAGATTTCCTAAAAAACAAAGACTCTGGTAAGTCCACAACAGCTTTACACCAAGAAAACAATAAGATTAAAGAACTCTCCCAAGAAGTGGAAAGACTGAAACTAAAGCTAAAGGATATGAAAGCCATTGAGGATGACCTCATGAAAACAGAAGATGAATATGAGACTCTGGAACGAAGGTATGCTAATGAACGAGAAAAAGCTCATTTTTTATCTGAAGAGCTAGAGCAGGTTAAAATGGAACTTGCCAAGTACAAGTTGGCAGAAAAGACAGAGTCCAGCCATGAACAATGGCTTTTCAAAAGGCTTCAAGAAGAAGAAGCTAAATCAGGGCATCTATCAAGAGAAGTGGATGCATTAAAAGAGAAAATTCATGAATACATGGCAACTGAGGACCTAATATGTCACCTCCAGGGAGATCACTCCATTCTGCAAAAGAAACTAAATCAACAAGAAAACAGGAACAGAGATTTAGGAAGAGAGATCGAAAACCTCACTAAAGAGTTAGAGAGGTACCGGCATTGTAGTAAGAGCCTCCGTCCTAGTCTCAATGGAAGAAGAATCTCTGACCCTCAAGTATTTTCTAAAGAAGTTCAAACAGAAGCAGTAGACAATGAGCCACCAGATTACAAGAGTCTCATTCCTCTGGAAAGAGCAGTCATTAATGGTCAGCTGTACGAGGAGAGTGAGGAACAAGATGAGGACCATAATGAGGAGGAATCTGTGCTGTCCTTCAGATGCAACACGTCCACTCCCCTTCCTGTGAACAGGAAGCTATGGATTCCTTGGATGAAATCCAAGGAGAGCCATCCTCAGAATGGGAAAATACAAACTAAACCCAATGGCAACTTCATGCAACCTGGAGATCTAGTCCTAAGCCATACACCTGGACAGCCGCTTCATATAAAGGTTACGCCAGACCATGCCCAAAATACAGCCACTCTTGAAATCACAAGTCCAACCACAGAGAGCCCTCACTCTTACACAAGCACTGCAGTGATACCAAACTGTGGCACCCCAAAACAGAGGATAACCATTCTCCAAAATGCTTCCATAACACCAATGAAGTCCAAAACCTCTACTGAAGGCCTCCAGAATTTAGATCAAGGTATGTCCCCAATTGCCATGGCAACCTTTGCCAGAGCACAGACCCCAGAGTCTTGTGGTTCTATAACTCCAGAAAGGACAATGTCACCTATTCAGGTTTTGGCTATGACTGGTTCAGCTAGCTCTCCTGAGCAGGGACGCTCCCCAGAGCCAATAGAAATCAGTGCCAAGCACGCGATTTTCAGAGTCTCCCCAGACCGGCAGTCATCGTGGCAGTTTCAACGTGCAAACAGTAATAGTTCAAGTGTGATAACTACTGAGGATAATAAAATCCACATTCACTTAGGAAGTCCTTACATGCAAGCTGTGGCCAGCCCCATGAGACCTGCCAGCCCTTCAACACCACTGCAGGATAACCGAACTCAAGGTTTAACTAATGGGACACTAAACAAAACAACCAATAAAGTCACCAGCAGTATTACTATCACACCAACAGCTACACCTCTTCCTCGACAATCACAAATTACAGTAAGTAATATATATAACTGACCACCCTCATCCTCATCCAGTCCATACTGATATTCTTGCAAGGAACTCAATCCTTTTTTAATCATCCCTCCACATCCCCCAAAAGACTGACTGAACTTGTACTTTGGGAAGTTTGTGCATGAACTACACAAGAGTCTGAAACTAATTGTTGCCTGCATAGCCATTTCAAGTGTGCATTTACTGTATATCTTTTCATTTACATAACTGTATGGGAAATATTTAGTCTGCATTTGTATAAATACATTTTTATGTATTTCATTTTCCATAACTCACTTTAATTTGACTGCAACTTGTTGTGGTAAAATACTTTAACATCATAAAACAGTAAATAATTTGTTATTTTTACCATTGCTTGCTGAATTTTCTTTTGGTCATTTTGTGTTACACATTTGCATGTCCAATATAATTTTATTTTCTGTTTATGTCTATTAATTCTTGCTAAAAAAATCAAGCAGGACCTACTTCTAATTTACAGTCAACTTCTGATCACATAATAGAAGAGGAGAAATTAGTTGAAATACTCAAAAAAATTATCTCTGTGACTTCAAAGTGAATTAAATAAAAATTTCATTTGTGACTTAAAGTGAATTATATGAGCTCTCAGGACAAATTTAATATCATTCTTGGGATGCATCTCAATATCCCTGATATCGAGCACAGTGCTTAGCATTTACTGGGAATACAGTAAATGTTTATTTATACGGGAATAAGATAATACTGAATAATTTGCTTTCAGTGAGCATACCTAAGATGGTGGTGAAAATAAAACGTTTTGAAATGTGATAGGAAGCCAGAAAGCACATTTGGAAACAAAAATTACTTTGACAATCAAAAGTTGACCGTATTTCTACCAAATGTATCTATCTATTTCCAAATCTGGATTAGCCACTATAACATAAGCTTTTCAACACTGTTTCAAAATGAAAATGTTATTCTTGTTCCTTTTTACCATTTGGTTCTCAAAACAGTTTGGATTACTAAATATAGGTGCCGCTATACCCTGTTTATAAGTAGGCTACAATCAGAAACTTACAATTTAATTATGTAGTTTTTTAAAAAACCTTGTGACAAGCAAATAAAAGTCAAAGATAGTTGTAAATGTAAGTTATAGGAGAATCTTATTTTATAAATTCATGTGATGTGTCAGCAAAGGAAAGTAAATACACTGTCAATTTCCTCTGTGTTTATTGTTATGCCATTTACAAGGCTGGTGATAAAAACCGTTAAAGTATCCTTGAAATTCTGATATCTGACTCATTGGACTCCCTGATCATAATCCATACTTCTGAGCAGAACATAGCAGCTTTCAGAGGAACATTTTAAATTATAAACCTGGTTCCCAAGTCACATTCCATAAATATGGAATTTTTCCTTTTTCAACCTCTTAACTGTCAATTTAATGGTGTCAAATGTATTGTCATTTATTGATTTTAAACAATTCATTTAGACATCCAGGCAAACTGTGAAGGTCTTTCAAAAAGTAAAAGGAATCTTTCATAATTATCTTCTTTTTCCCTGCAAAATCAATTTCATGATAGCAAACCGAGGATTTGTTGACAGAAACACTTCCATGGTGATGAACTGCAACACCACTGCTGTGGGCTTGCATCATCATTAAATAAATGTGGATGAAAGCTGAGGCTGATGATGAATGAGAAAGCTTCTGTTTAAACACATTTATCTTGGGAATCGGCAGTGACCCAACTGTATTACAAAATACATGATGGCCTAAATGTACTTCAAAACTATTTTTAAGTCAATGTGGGCAAGAAATCCAGAGAGAATTACACAGTTCATGATTGCTTTTTCAAAGCAGACAATGGAAATACTGCTACATGAGAGGTTCTTCTAGTTAATAATCAAGAGAAGGTATAGGCAATGTTTTGAAGGGCACTGATCAACTGATCACAAAATTCCCAAAACCAGAAACTAGAAAGAATTCAAGAACAAAATCTCCCCAATTTTATCATGCAACAGCACAAACAGAAAACATGTTTGCATGGTGCAGGGGGAAACAGAAGCAGAGAGAACCAGTCAAGGGATTCCCATCACCCAGGTTCCTCCTGGATGCCCTAAGTGCAGAGAGGTGAGGGGAGGGTCATTCCTACCCTTGACAGTTTCCTAACAGAGTTTGGAGCTCTGGCTATTCATCAGCCCATCTATTTTGTTAGGATTCAATTATGTAAGCCATAGCAATTCTCTACAACAAAGTTAACACAAGTTCTGTGTTCCATGATTATAATACACAAATTATCATTTTATCATCAGTTTCAATGTTAACTATAAATAAGCTTTCTAGGCAGCTAATCTAACATTACTGGAAATTTACTGAACCCTTAAAGGATTACCTTAAGGGTTAGAGGTTCCTCTTCTGGGAGGATTTTTTTTTTTTTTTTGCAGAGTAACAATTAATATAAGCATCAAAATTAACTTTAGGAGACTGTTAGATTAATAATTTATATGTAGACTGGTAAAAGTACCACTAAAGTTCATAGTAAAAACACTGTAAGTCCTGCAAAAGCATTTTTTTGTTGTTGTTGTTTTTACAAAATTACATTTAAAATGACACTCTGGATTTTTTGGCCATCAATTTAAAAAATAGTTTCTTATATCCTCGTGTGTGGTGAAAGAGAGAGATCACAGAACAAAGTTTTGTGGTGTGGAATTTTCCATTTGTGGTCCAATAACTGCTCAAAAAGTTCCAAATTTTGGAGCATTTTGAATTTTGAATACTCAACCTAAAATAATTGCTCAAAATGATAACAGGATTATATAAACTACTTAGAAGGTCCTCACAACCAGATCTTATAATGATAAGATATCAGGCACGGTGCCTTCATGATGCCCAAAGGATAAAATTAGGGGCACTGTGAGATGGTCCTAAAAGAGATATTTTATTAACGAATTTTAGGAACTTGCTGCCTAAGGATCCTATGGTTTTTACTGATTAAAATATAACTCCACATAAAAAAACTTTTAGTAGCTTCTTTGATTCTTAATATTTACAAAGTGTGTCTCCTTTGAAACACATCAGACAAAGGCAGGGAAAGACCTTTAAATCAACCATCACTCTGGTTTCCCTATATGTTGGTTTCTGTTCATTGTTTTTTTCCTCCAAAATAATCATTTTTCTTAACCTCCTAAGAGAAAAGATAATCAGACAAAAACTCAGAGGTCAGTGTTTCGCAAAGTAAAATCTTAAGTTCACACAGCAAGGAAATCAGAATCTCGCAGAGGGTAGGTCCCAGAAAGCTGCATTTTAAGCAGCTCCTTAGTTGATTAGTTTGCATCATTGTTTTATAAATTTATACACTGATAAACATTGGCAAATGTGGTCTATCATGGCACTCTTAGAATGAATTATACCTGTACCAGGAAGTGTAACTTTCTGTCCTCTAGTGGCAACAATGACAAACAGAAGGCTTTTCTCCAGGTTTTCTTTTTATTGAAGAAGAAAGATCTAGGACTGGGGCTGTAGCTCAGTGGCAGAGCATGCGTGAGGCACTGGGTTCAACCCTCAGTACCACATACAAATAAACAAACAAAATAATCGCATTCTATCCATCTACAACTACAAAAAGAAAATTTAAAAAATGTTATAAAAATTTTTTTAAAAAGAAGAAAGATCTACATTTTACTGGGTGGGAAGGTCCCTAGTTTTTAACTGTAGCAAAGCACAGATAGATATCTGAATCTTTGGCTGAACTGTATAGCAGGGTGACACCTATAACCTCTGATTCTATCCCAGAACCCAGGCTCTGACTTAACACTGTAGCACTTCTTGGGAATGGTCCAGAACACACATTAAAGAGAGCAGCTGGATAAATCAAAACAAAGTACTCCATTCACCTTAGGACACAGTGAAGCAAATGTAAGAAAGACGTGGTTTATTAAAAAGTTCCCAAAACTTAAATCACTTTAAATTTATTTGCATTCAAACTCCAAGACCTTTCCTTGAATGGACTCTTTCCACTCTTCAAACTAAATCAAAAAGGGCTTTTGTACAATCAAATACATCTCCTAAGGGCAACAATACAGCATAAAGAATCCTTAGGGGTCCAGCAAATTAACTAGTCAACACCTCTAAATACTTTGATAAGGAATTAACACAGTTCACTGGGTAGCACTTACAAATCTGTCAACATTCCATCAGGACACCAGGTTTTATTCTTAGTATGCTGCCATAAAAAACATACTCCAGGCTAACCTCTGATATTGCAGCCAGCCATCCCAGGGACATCTTTACTTGTGTCTCATTTCAAAATTGTTATAAAAATTATTGGTCAAGAAAATAAAACTTGCCTGATTATTCAAAGAAAATTTTTTAAAGCCTGAAAGCAGTTTTCTTTTTTAGTGAATTCTTTTTTCTCCCTATAGTCAAATGATCCTGTATGATTATTCTGAGCAGTTAATTACCTGAGACTATTTTTTTGTTTTGTTTTGTTTTTTGTCTTTGTTTCATTTTTAAAAGGCTAGTTATGTTTTAATTTTAATAATTAGCAGTGTATAAATATAGGCCCTATAGACAAAGCTTCCCTCATTCTCTGACTAGATAAAAGTAGGTTTACTAATGGACCCGTTACTCACGGCCACTCAGTGACATGCACTGTGCCTCAATGTGAAATATCTTTTCTTCAAAGCATCACATGGATACATGATCAATCTACTGATCATGACATACTAAACTGTGTACCTCCTTCCCAACCGTGGGGCAGGTATGACAGAGATAAAAGATTCACTGTTCTTGATAACCTGAGCAAGGAAATCAGACAAGAAATAAGAATATCAGTGGGGAAACTATACATTTCTACCCATCAACTGGAGATTCTGGAGGACAACAGTAGATTAACAAAGTTACATAAAGAAAGACTTAGATAAGTGAGGTGACAGAGAAGATACTAGAGGCAGGCAGACAAGACTAGATTCAGTTCATGTCTCTTCCAGTCAGTTGTGAGACCCTGAGCAAATCATTTAGCCTT